ACAGATGTTATTTTTTCTAGGAGTAGAAGTGTGTGGAGATACTTATATCTACATTATCCAAGGAAGATTAAAAAAAGACATTTGACTGACTCACAATTATTTAAATGATTATCATAAAATTCCTTTTAAAATAAAATATACAATATGAAAGTGTAAGTTATTAAATTTGCTTTATTCATGAGAACAGTTATGCATTATGATATTGATATTTCAGTATAAAAGGAAATTGGAATACCCTTTTGAGCAATTATGAAGTTTTGGATATCTTACAAAATACAAAGTCTTACAAGAAACAGAAAATGAATCAGCTTGCTACTATCACTTATCAAACAATCAAATATTTAGAAGATACACCATGTAAGAAGCAGAATCCTGAGAAAATACGAGAGTTCCTAAAAGCGATGGAGCCCATCAAATTGACAAAAGCTGAAAAGCTTATGCTTCTCAATCTTTGCCCTACTACGCCACTCGAGATACAACTGGTATGATTTTTTTCTTTTCTATGGGCAGTTTAATTATATTAAAAAATAGAGAATTTTATCAGATCTGAATGATTTTCAATCAACGATACAGATCCATTAAAATAATCTCTTTATAGATGGTGGAAGAAAGCGAGGAACGACTATCGGAGGAAGAGGTGGAAACTGTGCTTCGAATTGTTGCAGATGTGCGAGGGGATGAGCAAGACGTAGAACAAGAGACCTAATCTTAGACTATAAAAAATAACTTGTGTAAATATATTTTACGTATGTACATTTTATTTATAATGAAACATGACTGGAAATTGTATAATTAAATTACTGTATGTGCGCAATATGAATAGCCTTATTATCTCTTTTGATCCCCAAGATCATCTATAGAGTCTTCATCAATCTGAAAGAGAAATAGGCAGAATTTTTCATTGAAAATTTTTTTATTTAATATTTTTCTTTTTTTTTCAGCATAACTTACTTGTGGCCATTTCTCAGGTATCACTTCGAATAAATCATCCTTGACATCTCCTTGTATAACAATTTCATCATCTCCAGTTACACTAGATCCACAGGCAAACTTACTACCGAAAAATTTCGCTGCTACCTTCAAATCAATATCTGCAGAGAATTAATGCGTTTTTAGAATTTTATTGATTTTATAATTTGTTTAGAATATATCATTTTAATGTGTTACCAAAAGTACTGAGGCCAGTCACAACTGTGACGGATTTCTTTTTTCCTCTGGGTGCCCTGGAAACAGTCACCAACCGTGGTATATCTTCCTTCTTCTTGGTTTTCAACATACCTTTACCACCACGTTTCTGTCGTTTCTTCTCGTCCTCTCCTGTGCCAACTTCAGCAGAGCCATCTTCTGTAGCTGTAGAAAACATAACTTATCAGTTACAATCTTAATTATCTTCCGTTTACCGTTTTTCATAATTACCTAATTTTATCTTCTCAAATTCAGTAGGCAAATTCCTTTCCAGCCATTGTTTGCATTTGTCATATTCTGGATAGTATTCACAGTACTACAAATCAATCAAATCATCAGATTCTAACCAGAGTCAACACTTTTTTTATTGATTAATTCTATTAATTCTATTAACCATACGAGTTTATAAAAAATTTTTTTCTTAACACAATAACAAGCATTTTATAGATTAGATGCTAAAAATTAAACTAACTTTCAAATTTATATAATATATTAGGATATATTAGGAATAAGTTAATAAAATTTATAAAGTTAATAAAAAAAAAGAAACAAAATCATTTAAGTTACAGTAAATTTGTTCTGGAAAAAAGAAAAACTTAATGATATAATGATAGATCCTTTTTAATTGAACTTCTTGTACCATTTATTTTTTCTCTTTTTTTCTATAATGCAGATCGATATAAAAGCGGATTATGATTTACCTCGATCGGTAGCGAACAATTTCCGCAATATTGGACCCGAATAGGATAAGTGACATTAGGATCCGGTCCCAATCGAAACTCCGGTTGCTCCTCCGCTGACATCTTTGTGGCGTCTAACCTTACTCACAGTCTAGTCGGGAAAAATCTCAAGGACAAAATCGTTTCGAAAATTTTTCTTCGTGCCACGCCAATTCTTTTAGGAATGTAATGTTTTTTTTTTCACATGTACATACAAACACTATCGACAAATGTACTGCACCACCCGCACCATTAGGTTAGAACATCTGCCAGGAACGTAGAGCCTAAGATCGATTTTTAAAATCTAGTAATATCGAAAGTGATTTTCGATCTTTGCTTAAAGCCTATCTATAGCCAATAATACACAATACAATTTTTCGTCTTAGACCACGCCATTGTCTATTATGTATTAATGTAAATTAACCACGCCATTGTCTATTATGTATTAATGTAAATTAACTTACTTAATCTTGATTTAATTTATTTTTTATCTTTTTCTAATTTAGAAATCAAAAAAAGATAGAGGATAAGTTAAGCCGAATTTTAAGTTAAGCTACACTGTTAAAAATGGACATTATTAATGGACAGTAATCTATTAAAGATCTTTACACGTAAATTTTTAGTCGAAATCGCAAATTTGTAAGGAAATTGATCGATCGCAATTGATTATTCTTCGAAGGAGAATAATCAATCGTAATTAATCAGTTTTTTTATGATTACGATTACTGAATTTACAATTACGATTAAGAATTTATTACGTGTAAGGACTTTAATAGATTACTGTCCATTTCTAATTAGATTAACTTTAATCATGGTTAAATTTATTTTTCATTTGTTTCCAATTCTCAGAATTAAAATAAGATAAAAAATAAGTTAAATATATTATTAAAATTAATCTACATTAGTGGGAATGCATATAAGAATTTGGTCAAACGATTAACTCAATTGAATCGCCAATCACAATTGGAATTATCCAAAACGTCAACTAGTCAGACTAAGGCCGGTAAATGACTATTTCAGTCTATTCTTAGTGCCATTCTATAATTCTTCATTTCTATAATAAGCTATAAATAACAGATTATAAGTCAGATCATAAGTTAGAAGTTAAGAATTGATCAATCACAAATTAAATATAATAAGAATACTCGACTATGATTTGTTAATTCCTATTTTCTGATTTATGATCTATCACTTATCGTAGAAATGGAAGTAGAATGGCACTTATATTTAAGGTCATCTTAAGTCAGAATGCAGGTTGTCTTAAGATCCTGCCCAGCTAATGAAATGACCGTATTACATTTTGAATTTACGTTTAAGATCTTAAATATAAATATCAGCCTATGATTCGTTTACTGTTTAATGTCCATTCTACCAGTATAGATTTCAATCTCAGTTTAATTTATTTTTTTCTAAGAATTAGAAAAAAAAATAAAAAGTAAATTGAATAAAGATTAAAATTAGATATTCGTAAAAATAAATACAAATCAAAAACTGCTTAAGTTTCTTTTTATCATGATTTCAACTTATTAGTAATAATCTTTTTATCATGGTTTCAACTTATTAATAATATGAAAATAACATTAGGGCTGGTATTCATAGTCGAATCTTATGTTTAATGTCGCTTACAATAGAAAAATCAATTTTAAGTTGTAGGAAACTAATCAATCATAGTTAATTTATAGAAGAATAATCGATTGTGTTTGGTCAATTCTTTACTACTTAAGACTTATTTCTCTGTGTAGATGAAAGTATTGTTGTATCATAAATCACAGAGCTATGTTAGCATCTTAATACATTATTTAAGACGATCTTAAAATAAGAATCGACTATGAATATTAATCTAAGATATATTTCGAGATGTTTACTGAGAATATTGAAGACCTACAGCACACGTAGCATTTAGCATATTTATTGATTTTATTTATTGATTACGTTTTCGATTGCAGTGAATTGAACCCAACTCGAGAGAGGTTAATATATCACATGCTGAAATCGTCCAATGAAAACTTAAAATGGAGGTATGTATGCATAATTAATATATCTTGGGCTTATAGTTGAAAATACTATGAGTCGAATGGACATGAGGAAAAAAGAGGCAGAAAGAAAAAACGACAGAAAAAGCATGAAATAAAAAGAGACAGAGTCGAGTCAGCGATATTCTCTTTTATCGAAAAAAAATGCCTTTGAGAGTGTCTCATAAACTTTCTGATTAGCTGTGAACCACTTTTGGAGACATTTTTATCGATAAAAGAGAATCGTTCAAAATATTGATATCAATAAATTTTGAAAAACGCTGATAAATTATATATTTTTGATAATGCCATAGATTTCGGAACGCACATCCAATCGCACGAGGCATCGGGAGCGCACGGTGGCGGACCAATCACGGGCCGCGCCGCAAGCCTTGTACTCCGTTCGAAACGCACGTGCGAACCGTGAGATTCGCGCGCACTCGAGTAGTGTGCCGCCTCGTAGAAAAGTCGGACGTCGTCGTCGCTCTCCGTCCCGGACGAACGATTCAAAAGGGTGTGCGTGCGCGTGACCGTAGATCGTCGCGAGGACGAAAAGACGGACGGAAAGAGACAGAGAGAGAGGGAAAGAGAGAGAGAGAGAGAGAGAGAGCGAGGGTCGCGCTAGAGCGGACAGAATAGTTCAAGTATAGAAAAAGAAAAACCAACGTACGTCACGGTACGTCCTGACATCGTTTCCTCGTCGTTGTCGTACTC